TGATGGTGATGGATGAAAGCTTTTGGAGTGATCTAGATTTCATTAGAAAATTTTAACCTTCTGGAGGTTCATACCCGATTTCCAAAACATTAACGGAGAAGGCTGCTCTTGAATTTGAATGGAAAATGGATTGGATCTAGTCACCTTAATCCTTCCCATTGTTGTGGGCCCTTTCATTTGTCCCAAGCTGCCAGAGTCTGTGTCCATGGCATTAGCTTTAGTCTTTGGTATGTATATATTAGATCACTTACTACTGTCTTATTATATATATAGAAAAGCTAGCTTTAGCTAATTTTGTTTTTATCTATGACATTCCTTCACAGGGAAAAGTGCAGAATATATTAGCCTTTTCAATGCATCGATGGTGCATGTTGATGATGTAGCCATGGCACAAATTTTCCTACTTGAGCATCCTAATGCCACAGTGTCTGGAAGATACATAGGTTCCTCCCATACAATAACATTCGAGGAATTGTCTCAAATTCTTTCTGCCAAATATCCAGAATTCGCAATACCTTCACCCGAGTGAGTGCTGTCCTTTTTCCCTTGTATTAGAACTCATGCTTTTTGTTAAAATTTGAAAGGCAAAAATGTTCCATTTGGCTTTGTAGTTCCTTGGCAAAAGTTCAAAGTTTCAAAGCACCTGGCTTGTCATCAAAGAAACTGTTGGAGAGTGGCTTCAAATTCAAGTACAGCGTTGAGGAAATGTTGGATGATGCTATCAAATGCTGTAAGGACAAAGCCTATCTCAAATAATGATTTAGTTTATAAACTTCTTTTTATAGCTTTTCTTGTTGCATCATCATGAAGAATAAAGTCCCAGCAAAAGTTATGTTTGTGCCCATCATGGCTTGTTGGCTTGTAATAATTTGAACTCATATTGCTCATGAAGATTTCTATGTTATAAATAAAAGTCTAGACTCAGGGGAATTAGGTTGATCTCTAGTTAGGCTATAACCATGGGCAAGCCACGCTTGTATTTCATCATCACTGAAAAAGTGGCCCAAAGAACTTTCACTAAAGACCAGCCCATTCAATATTGATTTTTTTTTTTTTTTGATCGTCCAGCTCATTTTTAGGCATGCCAAATTGCTAATTAAATTGGAATAGTATTATCATCATACCCTATAATGAAAATCTCATTCTAAATATTGTTTTGTTACACTTTTGCCCATATGTGAATGAGAAGTTGATGAAAACAATGTTTTTAAAAACTCATTTATTTAAAATGGCGTAAAAGTAAAAGTGCAACAGGAGGAGTGCTAAGGGTACTCGCCCTTGAACACTTGTTTCAACAATTTCCCTATCTTACTGTCATGTGGAAATTGCATTTAACATGTAAACGGACAACTTTTTCCAAGTTAAAAGTAAAGCAAAATAATGTTTTCACTATATTATTAGGTGTCCAGCGTATAGTAGATTGTATGAGTTAATTTTTCTAACAAATAATAAAGTTTAAATGATAAATTAGATGATATATTAGAGTTGATATAGGAAAATAATTAATATACTTTTCGATTCAACACATCTAATAACATTTACTAACTCAGTCATTAAACTTCTTCTTTAAAAATTTTCTCATCTTAAATTCAAATTTGAAAACATTAGTTTTGTAATGATTAAATCAGTGAGTGTTGTTAAATATTGATGAACCGAAAAGTGTATCAATTATTATCCGTTGATATATTATAAACTTCTATACTATATGAATATAAACTACCACAAAGAATTACACAATAGGACTTTATTATAAATATAGATATATTTTAAGCAATTTGGGATATGATGGTCCTGATTTTACCACAAAGAATTATATATCATAAGGATATCATCTTCCATCCTTATAAGCCTTTTGCCTTCATAGGACAAACTCGCATCCTAAATAAAACCCCTAGCAAGCACAGGGTACGTTGTTTAAAGAGAGACTGTCACTAAATGTATAGTAGTTGAATAAACATTTTGTTATTGTCCAATATTTTATTTTAACTGTTACTCAATCTCTCTAATTCTTTTGTACGTTTTAACGGTTGTGAGGATAATATTAGTTTAGTTTAAATGCATCTTAAAATTAATTATTTTTAATTTAATTAACAATAAATGATCTATATTAGTATTAAAAAATTTATAAAAAAATTTATGTCTAACCTCCATCACACATTTAGAATTAAAATATATTTTTATGTTTAAGGTTACATATTACATTATATAGGAAAAAGTATTTTATAAATTATCTATATTAGTATTAAAAAATTTATAAAAAAAATTATGTCTAACCTCCATCACACATTTAGAATTAAAATATATTTTTATGTTTAAGGTTACATATTACATTATATAGGAAAAAGTATTTTGTAAATTGTGTTCTCAAAATTTTTTTGAAAGATATATTTTTAAATTTATTTTTTGATTTATATTTTCAAAACTCAATTGTTAGATTAAAAATTTTATTCATATAGATCATATATGTAAATTTTTAAGTTAATCTAATAAATTTAAGTACTTTGTTAATTATAAAAAATTTAACACAATTAAATATATGTCAATAAATAAAGTAATATTAATAAAAAAATTATAAATATTAGATTAACAGAAAAATTAATATATATACTTTACATGAATAAAATTTTTAATTCAACTATTAATTTTTAAAATTGTTAATTAAAAAATAAAATTTTTAAATATACTTTTTAAAAAAATTTTAAAAGAATAATTTACCTTACACTAATCTTTATTATATAAGAGAGCCGCTGGAGCCACTGAATCGGCTGTCGCAGATGAGGCTACATTGCTCGCCATGCTGCCGAAGGCTCGGCCCCTCTTGGAACGGAGTCGGGGTGGCGCCTCCGGCAACACCACCGGGTTTGCCTTTCTCTCTCTTCTGCATTTGGTCGGACTTCGGACTGTCGGTGAGGTTTTTTGCTTTTGTTATTGTTTTTTTGTTTTCTGGACTCCGATCCACTAACACGTGTGCCAGGTATCATTCATAATGGGATTGGCGAGAGTTGGGGCCCGCCTTAGCCCATGTGGTAGCTGAAATTTACAAATATTTAAACTTTAATTATTATACTAATTTATTTTTTTTTAAAGTGAAGTACAGTAAGCTTATGTAAAGTAAACTAAAATCTCACCATTCTCAACTAAGTTCTCCTTACATTACATTGCTAATTTAATAATTATACATTTATATTGGGAGATAATTTTTTATAAATTTTTTAATTTTAATATAAAGAATATATTTTTAACTAAATCAAAATTTTTTTTTCAAAATGTTTGTAAACTAATCCAAACAATCTCCTATTATTAAAGAAAAAATAATAGTATAGATGTAATTGTCCCATGATGACACATAGTTTAAAAGGTTAATTTTTTTTTTAATAATTTTACAAAGGGTTGGATTCGTATCATTGTTCGAAAGAGAAAGATACACCTAAACGTGACTTAATGTTATTGATTTTCGACCCAAATGTGTTTAAAAAGTTAATTAATTATAAGTTTTTTTTTATAAAATATAGACTTTTAACTTTAAATATTAAGGTTAAATCTCTCTATTTTAAATTTGTACTTACTTAAAAAAAAGTAATTGCCCTCGTGGTGGATCCATTGCATGTGAGCCAAATATTCTACCATCAATCATTTTCTACCGACCAAAAAGAAGTCCTTTTATAAATTATTAAAAAAAAAAAAGATTCTTTTAGTCGGCAATTGGACAAGATTTTCTTACGTGTCAGCGAACATGGTAGGTCCCATCTATAATAATAGAATTTCAATTTACGCACGTTAAATATGGCTTTTGTTATGTACCAAACACGATATAAAGGATGTTCGGAATATTTCACCGGATTTTATTTTTTCTAATGCATCATTCTTTTAGTCTAAGTGTAAAAAACTAATTAAAGAGTTTACTTAATTTGTATCTTAAATAATAATTAAATAATAATTATAATTTTATTATTATTATTTAATTATTACTTTTTATCTTATTCACTAAGAATATAGGATACATAAACCTTTTAATTATTTTTTTTACAATTAAACTAAAAGAATAATGCATTAGAAAAAATAAAATCCGGTGCAATATTTCGAAGATCCGTTATATCGTGTTTGGTACATAACAAAAGCCATATTTATCGTGTGTGATTTTTTTTAAAATGTGAAATTTTAAATTAAAAAAATAATTTTTATTTTATAATTTAAAATGAACCATAAAAAGTTAACATATGGCATTTATAATTAAAATAAAAATCAATTTCATCATTTTTAGGATAAAAAATAGTAATTATTAATCAATATTTACTTATTATTTTGTGCCTTAAAGATACAATAGATAAATCCATAATTTAAATCCTAGCATGTTCCCAGATTTTATTCTCAAAATAATGTTTTATAATTCTCTTGGCATAAATTTTAAAATAGTTAATTATTAATAAAAGAGTAAGTCTCTAAATCTCCTTTATCAATAAGTGTAAATTACTTTTTATTTTTTTATTTTATTTTTCTATGGATTTTATCCTTTTACTTATTATATAGTTTATCATAAAATATAAAAAGGAATATAATTGAAAATAAAACTAATATCATTACCATTATATAAATTCTTAAAACGTTCAAATTTTTCAAAAAAATCAATATGATCATAACATTTTAAATGATATTATTTTTATTTTGAATTTTATCTTTAGAATTAATATAATGTATATATAAATCTTATATAAAATTGTAATAATTATATTTTTGCTATGAATAAATGAAATTTATTTATTTTTCTTTAAATTAATAACTTTATTAGTTTATTTTTAATAAATTTCGTTTAATTTTTAAATTTTTTAAATATAAATTTTTAATAAAAATTTAACATATTATATA